TTTTCAGGGGTTCGTATTCTCCGCCAACAGGATTCTCAGCAAGGTGATCTGCTATGGCTTTCCCCTTGATTGCTTTCTGAGTCACATAAACTATGTCGAATTCACTCAGCAAGATTTGCCACTTGGCGAGCTTGCCAGTGGGCATGGGCTTCTGAAAGATGTACTTCAGCGGGTCCATCCTGGATATGAGATAAGTAGTGTAGGCACAGAAATAATGCCTCAATTTCTGAGCTACCCAAGTCAGAGCACAACAGGTGCGCTCCAATAGAGAATACCGGACCTCGTACGGGGTGAACTTCTTACGGAGATAGTATATGGCTTGCTCCTTTCTCCCCGTTTCATCATGTTGTCCCAGAACACAACCGAATGCTCCATCCAAAACCGTGAGATAAAGCAATAGAGGCTTTCCTGGATCGGGCGGAACCAAGACTGGCGGCGTTGACAGGTATTCCTTGATTTTGTCAAAGGCTTTCTGACAATCGTCAGTCCACTTAGTAGCAGCATCTTTCTTCAGCATTTTAAAAATGGGTTCACAAATGACTGTGGACTGAGCTATGAACCGGCTGATATAGTTGAGTCTCCCCAGGAAACTCATCACATCTTTCTTGTTCTTTGGCGCTGGCAATTCTTGAATGGCTTTGACCTTTGACGGGTCCAATTCTATCCCTCGGCGGCTCATGATGAAACCCAGTAGTTTTCCGGCAAGAACCCTGAACGCACATTTGGCGGGATTCAGTTTCAGATTATACCTTCTCAGCCCGTTGAAGAACTTTCTCAAATCTTCCATATGATCAGTGGCTCTCTTGGATTTGATGATGACGTCGTCCACATATACCTCGATTCCTTGTGTATCATGTCGTGAAAGATAGTAGTCATGGCTCTCATATAGGTGGCGCCAGCATTCTTCAACCCAAATGGCATCATTTTGTAACAATACATTCCCCACGGCGTGATGAAAGCCGTTTTCTTTGCATCTTCCTCGTCCATCCATATCTGATGGTATCCGGTGAAACAATCAACAAAAGACTGCAACTCATGCTTGGCGCAGTTGTCGATGAGAATGTGTATGTTTGGCAAGGGGAAGTCATCTTTGGGACTGGCCCGGTTAAGATCCCGGTAGTCGACACAGATTCTAACCTTCCCGTCCTTCTTTGGTACCGGCACGATATTGGCTAACCATGTTGGATACTCTACTACCTTGAGAACCTTAGCTTTGACTTGCTTAGTAACCTCTTCTTTGATTTTCAAACTCATGTCGGGCTTGAATTTCCTGAGCTTCTGCTTTACCGGCGGACAGGCTAGATCTGTTGGCAGTTTGTGAGCTACAATGGCCGTGCTGAGTCCAGTCATATCATCATACGACCAGGCGAATATGTCCTCATATTCTTTTAAAAATTCCGTATACTTTTCCCTTTCTGATGGCGACAAGTGAACACTGATGCGACTTTCTTTGACGTTCTCTATATCTCCCAAATTAATGACCTCAGTTTCTTCCAGGTTGGACTTAGGTCTATTCTCAAAATTCTCAACCTCTCTGACGACCTCTTCAGGAATTTCATCTTCTTCTGAGTCTCTGTCCTTTTGTTGCGTTGTTTCGTTACAAGTCACAGTCGTTGGTTCATCGTCAAGATAAGTAATAGTAATGCTGTATAAAATAGAGTAAATGATAGAGAAAATAATAAGAGAGATATATATGATAAACTGAAATGCTTTGATTAAAGTCAAAACTGTTTGAAATATCGGAGCTCTTTTCGAAATTAAAGACAATGCGGAAAGAAAATCAACTAGTAAAATAAACTAAAAAATATGATGCATGCTGCTTTTGTTTAGCCTTGCTACCCCGAAACCCTCCGGGCTCTGACGGTCCTAATTGACCAGTTGCTGAGGCGGTCTCCCCTGCTTACAGCTTGTACGGAAGGGCCTTCCTCCCCTTCCTCCTCTAAAAGAACACAGCAGTCCATATCATCATCCTCCAGGAACAAATTCTTCATGGCCGCCAACGCTTCATCTTCTTCTGACCCATCTATAGTATCTGCCGGTTGGAAGGTCTGTTCCAGGCTGGGTATCGGAAACTCCAATGGATAGTAGGGGCCGCGCCATGGTGGCGACCAGTTCTGGAATTCTTCCCAAGTGTAAACATACCCTAAGCCAAAGGTAGTGCCATGCTTCTTCAGTTTGATGGGCTTAGTGATCCCCTGAAGATTTTTACCAAGTCCATTTCCAGGCTCGTACCCGCACCAATTCAGGATACTTTCGATCTTGTTGTCCCACCACTTGTCTTTGTCTACAGCGTTGACCCTTTCGATGTGGTGGTATGTCTCTCCGCCTATTTTTCTTCTGCCCCCGATCATTGGGATAGTCTGGCGACTCTATATGGGGTTACTACTATCGCTATGAATGATCACCTCTTGGGAATTCCATTCGAACTTTATCGCCTGATGCAGGGTTGATACTACGGCTCCGGCAGCGTGGATCCAGGGGCGTCCCAACAGCAAGTTGTAGGATGCCGGGACGTCTATCACTTGGAAGTCGACGTCGAACCATGTTGGCCCCATTTGCAAGCACAGGCTGATTTCTCCAATAGTAGATCTCTGGGATCCATCGAAGGCTTTGACATTGATAGCCCCATCTTTGATCTCATGCAGGCTTTTTCCCAAGGTTCTGAGAGTTATCAGCGGACAGATGTTGAGGCTTGATCCTCCATCAATCAGGACTCTAGTGATGAAATAATCTTCACATTGCACGATGATGTACAGTGCTTTGTTGTGGCTCAAACCTTCTGGCGGCAACTCGTCTTCGTGGAAGGTTATTTTATGGCTCTCCAACACTTGCCCCACCATATTCGCCATTTCACCCCCGGTTATATTGCTGGGCACATAGGCTTCACTTAGTATCTTCATTAAGGCATTCTTGTGAGCGTCTGAACTCTGCAGAAGAGCCAGGATAGAAATATATGCTGGTGTTTTGTTCAGCTATTCAGCGACTGAGTACTCCTTAGACTGTATTTTCCTCCAAAGATCGTCGGGTCCTATCTCAATGGGACGTCCCGGGGCTTGCTTACTGGATTCGGCTAGGTGCTATGGGGTGTAGACCCTCCCTGTTCTAGTCATTCCTTGTGCGGCAATCGTTTCTCCTGTCTTTGTTTTTCCTTTCCTCCTAGCTTCAGCAGTGTAATCCCATGGTATGGCATTTGAGTGGAATGGTGTTATGTCAGTCATTGCCACCGAATAGGCACCCTTGGTGGTAACACAGCAACTTCAAAGGGTGTAGGTGCCTTTGGAACTCCAAATTCAACCTCGATTGGTCCGGGCGCCTTTGCAGAGGGAGGCGCTTCAAATTCAAGCGGTATAGACATATTTACTTCGCCGTCCATGGAGGGCTGATTCTACACAACAATTGGGTTAAGGGTAACCGCTGGTTTCTTTGGTTCATCCCCTTCCGCAATCAAACCTATTGACCCTTTGGGGTCCCAATCATCCTCGATCTCGATCATATGAATGTCTCCACCTTTGTGGTCAGGCAGGGGGTTGTTACGGACATTAGGAGCGGGCTCCTTTGCTACAATGACCTTATTGTCGATCAGGGTCTGAATCTTATCTTTCAATGAACAACACTCGTCAAGGGTGTGTCCCTTCATGCCGGAGTGATACGCACAGGTCTTGTTGGGGTTGACCCACTGGGAGAAATTTTCTGGAGCTTTGGCTGGGATAGGAGTGACGTAACCAACAACTTTAAGTCTTTCATATAGCTGGTCAATCGGTTCAGCGATGGCTGTGTATTGTCTGGGAGGTTTGCGGTCAAAATTTGGTCTGGGTCTTGGAAAATTTTGACGGGTGGGTGGTGATTGGTAGTGAGAGGGTTGAGCGTTATAAGCTTGGTAAACAGGTGCTGGTTGAGAATATCTGGGTGAGGTGGGTTGATATGTGAGAGGTGGAGAGGATTGCTAAACGGGATGTGGATAAGAGGGTGCAGGTGCTTGGTAATTCGGGATGGGCTGATATGTAAGTGGAGGTGATGGGTATGTGTTGTATTTTGGTGGTGATTTGGCTCCCTGTGCGACCATCACGGCACTTACATCTTTCTTCTTGGATGCGCCACCAGTTTGTAAAGCCTTATTGGTGGCTTGCAATGCTTCAAGATTTGTAACCATACCATTTTTGATGCCCTCTTCGATTCTTTCTCTGAGTTTGATGATATCAGAGAAATTTTGACCCTCGATCAACATCAACCTCTCGTAATATTGGGGATCCTGAGCCCGGACGAAGAATCTATTCATTTGTTCTTCTTCTAGGGCCGACCTGACCTTTGCAGCTTCTGACCTCCAATGAGTAGCATACTCGCGGAATGTTTTGGTGGGTTTCTTCTTCAAATTCTGTATGTAGAATACATCTGGTGTGTTCTCTGTATTAAACCGGAATCTATCCATGAAGTCCGATGCCATAACTACCCAACTCGTCCATTTCTTAGGGTCTTGACTTATGTACCAGGATAGTGCATCTCCCTTTAAGCTCCTCATGAAGAGCTTCATACGAATATTCTCATCTCTTCCGACCCCCACTAGCTTATCGCAATAGGTCCTCAGGTGGACTCTGGGATCTCCTGTTCCATCAAACATTTCGAACTTAGGAGGTTTGTACCCCTCCGGGAGTTCAACATCTGGTTGAATGCACAAGTCCTCGTAATTCAATCCTTTAATGCCTTTGTTACCTTCTACGCCCTGAACTCGACCGGTTAATTTCTTGATCTCTGCCGCTGAGTTCCTAATGAGGGATTCCTTGTCATCAGACTCAGGTGCATTTGAGATGGGTTGGGCGTAGTGGGGTACAGTATCCACGTAACTAGGAGTGTTGTGGAGATGGTCATTTGTGGTGTTCAGTGGATCGGGAATGAGTAGTGGGGTGTTATTTGGAGCGTGGCATGTGTTGCAATGTTGAGTATGAGTGGGTTGTATCTGTTATTGTGGGGTGTTTTGTGGAGGTGCGGGATTTTGGGTGTTGACATCAGGAGCGGTGAGGGAAAATAACAGGTTTTGTCCGGTCGGCTAGCTGTAGTAACATGGACGTGGGTCTAGCTCTTCCAATGCCTAACCTTTTGTAGATAGCCAGGGGCATCAAGTTTATGTTTGCCACCAAATCACAAAGTGCCTTAGCAAATGCATAGTTGCCTATTGTGCATGGGATTGTGGAACTCCCTAGGTCAGACAGTTTCTCAGCTATGGGTCTCGTCACAAAAGCACTACATGTCTGAGTCAGTGTAACCGTGGTCAAGTCTTGAAAGTCGAACTTACGAGACATCAAGTCCTTCATCACTTTTGCATAACCAGACATTTCCTTTAAGGCTTCCATCAATGGAATGTTCACCTGAATTTGCTTCAACATCTCCAAGAATTTCTTATACTGCTCATCTTTCTGATACTTGGCTAATCTCTGTGGGAATGGTGTTGGAGGTCGCTTATTCCCTGTGATTTGAGTTTTATCTTGCTCAGGCACTGCTTCTACTGTCGTTTCTTGTGCTACCTCAGTCTCCTTCGCAACCTCTTTTTCTTTGCTGGTGTTCTCTTGTGCATATTGTACCGTCACCTCAGTTAACCCTGTTAAATCATCTATCTCAATGGGTACTGGCACAAGTGTTTCGGTAGGTCGGCTTTCACGAGCAATTTCTTGCTCCAGATCTAGGTCTCTACCACTTCGTAGACTCACTGCCATAAGTTGTTTCGGGCCCTGCTCTTTTTGATTGATTTGTGTGTCTGCAGGTAACGTCCCTTAGGGACGATTATTTAGAGCCATCGAAATTTGTCCTACTTGAATCTCAATACCCTTTATCGCTGATTCATGTGAGTCTACTCTCTCAGTTATTTTTCCAGTAGACCCAATCAGTTGTTGCAGCATTCCCTTAAGTTCAGCAAACCCATCATCTTGTCTCACAATCTGTTGTTGTTGAGGTTGTTAATAAGCCTGTTGCTGATTTTGCTGGTTGTAACCCTGTAGCCTTTGGTAGGGCACCACTTGACCCTATGGTCACATAGCTCCAGGATTGTTGTTGTTATTGTACTGCTGCTGTGCTGGTCTGTATTGTTGATTCTGCTGAGCCCAATTCTGACCACCTTGCCTCTGTCCCCCATAGTTGGCCACATAGTTCATATTTTTCTGCTATTGCTGGTTGTCACCTTCCGCACTCCACAAGCAAACATATGGTTGGTTAATGCATGGTGTACATAAGCCCCCATTAGTTGCATCGACTATGTGTACCTGCTGCTTCTGGCCTGATTCATCTATCTTTTTTGGTGAGGATACTCATTTGCGTCATTAGAGTGGCCACAATTTTAGCTATGGAGTTGTTTGGGTCCAAAGCCACTGAATGAACTACAGGAGTGATTGTAGAGTCTCTTGTCATCCATCCAGAGTATTGGGCCATCTTATCAAGTATGATCTTGCTTTCTCTGAATGTTTTGCTCAAAAATGCTCCACCTGCTAAAGCATCAACATTGGCCTTTAAGTTGTCTACCAATCCCATGAAAAACCGCTGCCCCAACATCTGCTCTGGAATGTCATGATGTGGACACTTAACCAGCATACCCTTGAACTTCTCCCACGTTTTCTGTAATGTTTCTGTTGGTTTCTGCCTGAAGCTCAATATCTCATCAATTTGTTTAGCAGTCTTATTAGGTGGGTAGAGATTGTTCACAAATTGCTTGACTAATTCCTCCCAAGTAGTGATGTAGTTTATGGGGAGTGAATTAAGCCAAGTCTGAGCCTCTCCCATCATCGAGAATGGAAACAACAACAGCTTTATTGCTTCCGGCGTTAAATTAGGCTGCTTTGCGTGACACATACCGACAGGAAATTCTTCAGATGCTGCTGAGGATCTTCCATGTATAACCCTGAGAACAGTCCCTTGTTCTGCAACAAATGTAGCATGTTGTTTGTGATTTGAAATGATTCTGCTTGTATCTGAGGGACTGCAATTGCGGTTGCCAGGTTGTCGGCGGTAGGTTGTGCCCAATCATACAATGCTGCTTCTGGCACAAGAGGCACCACACCTTGATTGTTCGGGTCATTCACATTATTTCTATTGTTTACTTCGTCTTCCACTTCTGGTTCGATTTGTTCTGTTGAGTTCTGTTGTTGTTTGCCATTCTTGTTTGCACGATTGAGTGCCTTGAAAACTTTCTCAGGATATGATAATGCTTCTAATAATTCACCCGTTGTTGACGAGTTTCTAATGACATTTATATATGCAGAAATGCAAGAGCCTATAGACATGATCTCTATATGTGTCATTACAGAACATGAATGTTAAATCCTATAGACATGCTTTCTAGGTGATTTTTGCGGTAAAGTTAAGCATTAAATCCCATAGGCATGGTCTCTATGTGATCGAATCAGTATTAAAGACCCTATAGGCAGGATTTCTAGTTTGAATAAAATCCTAATTCATGATTTCTACCCCTGGGATACAAGAAAAGTAAAGACCCCTCCCACACCCTTTTACTATACTCCCCGAGTTTCATACAAAATTATTACAACCCAATGAATCAAATTGGAAATTAAAGGATACATCAAAAGCTAACAGCTAGATCCGAGTAGCCTAATTCAACCTTAATGTCTAATAACAAGCGATTGAGCCACTTCCGGGATCCAGATTTCCAAAGCCTTCTCTTTATCCAAGGTGCTTCAAAGTTCCAAGGAATCTCAGGGATTCCAGGCATTGCTTACACCCAGGATACTACCAGAATTAGAATAGTGCAGTGNCCCACTCCCTAGTTGATGCCGGCATAACCCGATGACTTTTCCCAACATAGGGTCACACTCCCTAGTTGATGCCGGAATAACCCGATGACTTTCCTAACATAGGGTCCCACTCCCTAGTTGATGCCGTCATAACCCGATGACTTTTCCAACATAGGATCCCACTCCCTAGTTGATCCCGGCATAACCCGATGACTTTTCCAACATATGGTACCACTCCCTAGTTGATGCCGGGATAACCGATGACTTTTCCAACATAGGGTCCCACTCCCTAGTTGATGCCAGCATAACCCAATGAATTTCCAACATAGGGTCCCACTCCCTAGTTGATGCCGGCATAACCCGATGACCTTTCCAACATAGGGTCCCATTCCCCAGTTGATGTCGGCATAACCCGATGACTTTTCCAACATAGGATCCTACTCCCCAGTTGATGCCGGCATAACCCGATGACTTTTCCAACATAGGGTCCCACTCCCTAGTTGATGCCAGCATAACCCGATGAATTTTCCAACATAGGATCCCACTCCCCAGTTGATGCCGGCATAACCCGATGACTTTTCCAACATAGGGTCCCACTCTCTAGTTGATGCCGGCATAACCCGATGACTTTTCCAACATAGGGTCTCACTCCCTAGTTGATGCCGACATAACCTGATGACTTTTTGCAACATAGGGTCCCACTCCCTAGTTGATGCCAGCATAATCCGATGACTTTTCCAACATAGGGTCCCACTCCCTAGTTGAGCCGGCATAACCTGATGACTTTTCCAACTTAGGGTCCCACTACCTAGTTGTTGCCACCATAACTTGGTAATCTTCCAACCTAGAGTCTCCAACCCCTAGATGATCTTGTGTTAGATATAGGGTCTCCAATCCCTGATCTCTTTTTCTCAAGGATACACAATCCTGATTTTTATTGCTTTCAATAAAGAAGTACTTTAGATTTTTTTTACAATAACTCACGAAATTTTCCTAGTGAAAATTGGGCAGAAAAATTTCGTTTGTTTGTTTTTTTTTTTTGCCTGAACAGGTTTTTACCGTGAGGCACGAGGTTTGAGATGAACAAAAGAAGAAGTCTCCATCCAAAATAAAAGAAAAAGAACAAAAGAAAAGAAGTCAACCCAAAGTGCAGAGGCGAAAAAAGATGTGGACTGCTCAAGACATGATTGAGGTCACAAGCCTTGCAAGTCCCATTTTTGATTCGAAAGGTGAAGAAGAATCAACTATCACCTGCCGCTAACAAACATCAAGATTCAGATCAGAGTCTGCATGAAAATCCAGTCAAGACTCAAGATCAAACTTCGGAAGGTTTATAAATAGGAATCTTGTAAAATGTAGTTGATAGGCTTAGTTAGTTTATTTTTTCTACTTTGGTGTAATAAAGAGCTCAGCAAGCAGCAACAGCAGCAACAGCAGTGAAATCACAGCTATTTGGTAGTCCGAGCTACCAAAACTTCCAGAACTACACTGACCTGATTCCTTTGTAGCCAAGGATATGTAAGAAACCTCCGAAGCAAGGTTCGGTTAGACTTGTACCAAAAAATGCTTCCCAAGGAGTATCAAGACGGGCAAAAATCGCTCATAATTGCTCATTTCATCTTTGCCCGAAAACTCTTCGTGTTTCTGAGCAAAGAGGGGCAGCAGATTTTCTAGAACTAATTTTGTTGTTTATAAGCATCTACAGCAGTTTCTAATAATAAAATGACTAGCTAACTTGGGGAAAATAATGCTTCAATGGTTGCAAGCCCGAACATAAGATGGAACAACCCATTTGGCTATTTGGCAAAAGCTGGCCCAGTTGCGATTCTCAAATGACTGGGCCCACTACTAAATTGTGTTCGATACCAATTAATTTCACCCAAAAAGTACACATGTACACAGAAAAGCCAAAAATTCAGTTCATAAAGCCCAAAAGATGATTCAAGTTTTTTAAAAATCAATTATTCTACGTGTGATTTCCAATACATAAAATGAGAGAATTGAGTCTATGTTAAGGTTAAAAGGGGTGTAAGCCTATGACTAAGATCAAGTCATTGGGCTTAGTACCCAGGCCCATTTGCCTGGGTCAGACATGCTCAAGTGATTCCCAGATTGGGCCTTGTTGCAAGTCTGGCCCAACTACATTCATGCAATTCTATGACAATAGGCTATCTTATAACAAAGAATTTACGAAGTTATGAATACAAATATCAATTATCATGATCGAGCATAAAAACTAAAATATTCCCACTGTTAGTTTTATTACTGAACAGTCCATAAATTTACAACATGACCTCAAATACAATTACATGTCTAAAAGGGAAGAAAGAAAAAAAATTTAAAGGGGACATTCTTCATGGCTTTCAGCCTTCAACTGTTGCACAACCCTTTGGCAAGCTTCAACTTGCAAAAAATCAGCTATAGAGCTATTTCTTACAAGCCAGCATTCAATTCCAGCTCTGAGGTTCCTTGCCTTATTGCCACACACATACAAATAGAAAAAACAAAAATGCAGGTTTCAGTATTTATGGGGAATCCATTTAACAGTGTATTATCAACTAAATAGCAAAGCAATGACCGGATATATGTATCTTGTAAAGGCATGTCAATATAAAAGAAGTCATTTATTACAAGAAAGAAGTCTAGAATTTCAGGAAAAACAGCAGCATTTATTGAACACAACTAGAGATGAATAAAAGACAAGTGTTGAGATTAGAAATAAGACATATATTTAAGTTCACACCAGATCTCATTCACAACCAATTCTGGACAAAGAGTTGCATACCTAGAGTCAAGAAATAGCAAATGAAAGATCAAGTAAAGGTCAAAAACCAGCAAAATGGAGCTCAGCAATCCAGAAACCAAGCAATACAGCCAGAACTCAGCCTAGAAATCTAACCAAAAACTGATGTTTTAAAAAGAAAACTGCAGGAATTTTCTCTCTTTTTGTTTTTAGAAATTTTAAGGTGACTATA